AATGCTTTTATTTAGCAACGATACATATAAAAGTGACGATACATATAAAAGTGACCGTGAAGACATTTTTAATATTACAATAAGATTTCTATCCATTGATAATGAACATTGAAGACTGGAGTAATGGCTGCTAAAAATTCAGCTTTGCCATCACAGGAATAAATTGCATTTTAAAATATATTAAAATAGAAAACAGTTACTTTAGAATTCTAAGAATATGTCACAATATTTTTGTGATAAATGCCAAAAAACAAACAAACACAAAAAACTTCCGCCCCCAAACCTTGGAATGATAGTTAATTGACACTCACTGGACACTTCATTAGGTACACTTGTTCTACGCACGTTAATGCAAATATCTAATCAGCCAGGCACATGGCAACAACTTACTGCATTTAGGCATGTAAACATGGTCAAGACATCTCTAGGGTTTACAGAGAATGGTCTGAAAAAGAGAAAATATCCAGTGAGCGGCAGATCTATGGGCGAAAATGCCTTGTAGATGCCAGAGGTCAGAGGAGAATGGCCAGGCTGGTTCGCACAACACATCGAACCTTGATGCAGATGGTTTACAGTAGCAGAAGACCAAAGAAGATTGGAAAAAAGGTGCCTTGTCTGATGAGTCCCGATTTCTGCTGCAACATTTAGATGGGGCGGTCAGAATTTGGCATAAACAACATGAAAGCATGGATCCATCCAGCATTATACCCACTGTTCAGGCTGGTGGTGTAATGGTGTGGTGGATAATTTCTTGTCACACTTTGGGCCACTTAGTACCAATTGAGCATTGTTTAAATCCCACAGCCTACCTGAGTATTGTTGCCGACCATGTCTGTCCCGCCTTGTCATAAAGCTCAAATCATCTCAGACTGGTTTCTTGAACATGACAATGAGTTCACTTTACTCAAATGGCCTCCACAGTCACCAGACCTCAATCCAATAGAGCACTTTTAGGATGTGGTGAAATGGGACATTTGCATCATGGATATGCAGCCGACAAATCTGCAGCAACTATGCGATACAATCATGTCAATATGAACCAGAATCTTTAAGGAATGTTGCACCTTGTTGAATCTATATCACAAAGAATTAAGGCAGATCTGAAAGCAAAAGGGAGTCCAAGCTAGTACTAGAAAGGTGTACCTAATAAATTGGCTAGTGGATGTAAAAATATGTCTATTTTTATTTCTGTTTATGTATTTATTTCTTTATATATTTTACAGAGGCGGCCTCCTGATAACTCCTTTTATGTACGGACATGTAATAAAAATCCAAAGAAGACAAAATGGTGGTATCATGGTAAGAACTAATATTTGAATTGCCAATAAATAAAACATTTGTTGAGGAAATGCATTTTAAATATATTTAAAAATCTGCCTTTTTTTCCACAGATGATACCTGTTAATATGAACTTTCTAGAACTCCCGGAGGGAAGAAGTCCTACTGACATTATAAAAGCACTTTTTGATAGCATATGGTCTCTGAACTTTAAACTTGGACTCAAACACAAGCATGGACTCAGACCACAAACATGGGAGATGATATCAGCTGTGTTACCGGTAGCCAGTTGGATGCATGTTTGGGGAAAAATAAAAACAGACGAAGAATGGAAATAAATTTTAAAGAGGATGGAAACAGACCTGTCAAAGGGTTGGTGTGGAAAAATGTAGATAAATCCAGGAAGAAGGATTTTTATTTTATTTTTTTGTAATGAGATTATTTCTGTCTTGGACCACACATATTCCTGTTCATTTTTGTCATTGGTATGTTTCAAGGTCCACGTGTCTTGTGCAATAACAAGGATAGGTGCATAGCAGGGCAAATAATGAGAAATCCAAAACCAATCTGGAAATGATTGTAGTGTCCTTTCCTTTTTCTCTTTCCTTATATTCCTACTGAAATGATATGCACTGTGAAATGATGAAAGAAAAGACCAGTTCATTCTGATGAAGATATGGCGCACCGCTTCAGTTAGTTTCTGATGTTCCAAAGTAAATAGTTTAATTTAAGAAAGGTACTGTTTTATCTCATTCATCTCAAGTTCTGCTATCACTCGAAATGGTGGTTTCATTGTCATTTATGCTTGTTAGGACTATAATTTGTCTGTTTGAGCATCAAAACCA